CCCCCGCACACACACACACACCCCAGCCTCCTTTGTCTCGTCCCCCTCCATCAAGTGCTGGGTGTTGTCAACATAACATTTTTATCTTTCTGATTAACCGGGTAGTTAAAAATGAAGGTAAGATGAATAAACCACAGACAGAAATTATAGTAAATTGTAATGTAGCTTACCTTTTTTTCTTACTACAACTGAGTCTATGGGATTTAGCTCTAGCAAAACTGTCAATCATTGGTTCGTAGTCCAATTTTCACGCTAGACTGGCCTCTATAGCCAAAATTCCAAGACTTGTGAGTCTGTCTTGACACATTGTTGGCCGCAAAATGTTTTTCACTCGAGGAAGGGTACTGAAGGAACGTTCAGTTTGCGCATCTGCGACAGGCAAGTGCAGAAGATTCTCAACATGTTTACAACGTTTGGAAACAAAGCATCTACATGTAGTTTCAGGGATTGAAGTCTGTTCAGCAACTGAAGAGGCGGCTGGACATTTTTTCCAATGTTCGCTGAATGAATCACTTTCAAATGTTCCAACTCTTGCGCAAGGTCTGCTGATGCATCCACTGCATATTCCGGGTGCAATTTGTTTGCAAGATCACGAATAACGCCGACTTCCTCTTGGAGATATTTCCATAAAACACTAAATAACGAATCGAGTTTTGTCACTTCATTACACCTTGTCGTCAAATTTCCAAGAAGGCAGTCAATGAGGACATAAATAACTTCATGCTTGAATTTGTTCTGGGGATTTTGGTAGTGTGTTACATCTTCTGCCTCGTCTGCAAAAAGCTTCCTTTTCTTTTGTCGTTTTTGCTGTTTCGGCGAATGCGTGCTCAATCTCATAGTTATCTGCTACTAATTTGGACCCACTCAAGATTGCGTCCCATTCATCTCGTAAGTTTTTCAAATCTTTAACCGGACTATTCATATTTGCCACCCCAACTTCAAGCGTCGCATCTCGTGCTTGAAGCACAGTATTTCTGTGATCGATTGCAGTGAAGATTTTGAGCCAAACAGATGCCATTATCACACATTCAAATGATGCAAAGTACTTTAGAATACCAATCAAATCTGAACGTGTCTCTGGGGGGAGGTTCATTGAAAGAACAGTTTGAACAACTTTCCTCAGTCCCCCGATGTGAGCCGCTAAAGGCCTGACACTGTCAACACGTGCTGACCAACGTGTCTGAGACATACTGTGCAAAGAGCTGTGAATGTTTTGCTTCAAAATTTCCCACCTTTGTGGACTGGAGCTAAAAATGTTATACAGCTTCTGTACAACTCCAAAGAAAGTTATGACTGTTGAACAGCTTTCTGCAGAAAGCACACCACATAAATTCAAACTATGACAGCCACAGGGAGAGTATGTGGCAAGTGAACACTGTATTAAAAAGTGAGCCTATACACCAGTGAGCATTATTATACAGACAGACCACACATGTTGCTAACGTTGTCGTAGCTTGGCTTCGGCAGTCTGTAATTTGTATGTTTGGGTTTTTTTCATTCCTTGTATAAAGGATAATTTTAGCGATGTCTTCTCCTGTTTTCTTGTTACAATCTACACATTCCTGAAATTTCTCTTCTACTTTGTAGACATTTGTACCACTGTCCAAGTGAACATAACGCAAAATAAAAGCAGTTTGTTCGACGTGTGAAGAGTCTGGTGTTGCATCAAGGATATTGGAGTAATATATCGTTTCCCCACTTTCATTCAAAATCATGTCGGTCACTTTTGATGCACAACATTGGATGAATTCATTTTGACTTTCTGGTGATAGATAGTGAACTTGTAGGCGCCTTTCTTCCTTGTGTGATTTTTCAACTTTTCTAAGGTGCTCTGCAAGGAGAGGATCGCAATAGCTTACCAATTCCAGAAGTCCAAGAAAGCACTACCAAAGTTCTGTGAAGTTGTCAGACATACAGTTCAATTTGCAACCAAAAAATATTTTATTTCAAAGCTTTGTACTCTCTCTCTCTCTCTCTCTCTCTCTCTCTCTCT